CAAATTGGACTCACTTGTATTTTTGCCTGATTCTGTTAAAGCTGCAAAGCTTGAAGATGATGTTTCTGGGGATAGGAGCGAATCCTCTCTCCGACTCCAGGAAGGCCGTAAAGAAGGAAAAGAAATGGTTGACCAGGAAATTGAGGTTGAGGCAGAACCAGAAAATATTGAAAGGCCTGTTGATTTGTACAAGGTATTTGTCTTCTTGTCCAAATCAGTTGTTAAAGTATACTGTAGTTCCTTATTGAAAGGAGAGTATTCTTGCTAAGTTCTCTCTTATTTGGGATATTCACAATACTGATTTTGCTATTGGGACAACGATAATATATCTGCGATAAGCTGGTTCTACTTGCTCCTTGATGAGGCGGTATATCAGATGTATGTGATGGATCGTAACCTCGAGGTTACAAACATGAGGTTAGAAACTAGTGCTTTTAGATTAGGTTAGAAAAAACTAGTGCTTTTGATTACTTAGTGTTTTTAGGGAGGTCAAAAGGGATAGGTGGTACTTTTAGGGAGGTCAAAAGGGATAGTTTCGTAATTAGGTTGTTCTCCAAACCTTGTTTGTTACCCGCGCCAATGGGACCCTCCAATAAGTCTATTGGAATTGGCTCTGTATCAATGGAATCTCATCATAAGTGTGGAATGTTTCTTCTCTCATTTTTCTTTGATTGATGAAGGGTTCGGATGGGTTATTTTCTTCCCAATTTCTAGTTCCACGAATGGGTGAGTGGAGGGTTCTATTGCTTTCTGATTGGGGCTATTGTTCTCAGGAATTCCTCCCTGCTTTGTGGATCAAGTTGGAAAATCTCATGAACTTAGCTAATGCTAGGATTAGTTGGTTCAGTTCCTAGTGCATTGCCTGAAGAAGGATTTTTTGCTGATATTGATTATTTTAAAAAGTAGTAGTTCATTTTGCAACTGCATTAGTATTGTTTCTAGCAGATATGTTTTTTCTTCATTTTTTTTTCTTTTTTTTGTTCCCTGTTGTTGGAGTGGGATGGGGTTGGGTTTTCTTAGCGTTTTTAAGATCAATCTGCTAATGAGCGAGTAGTGTGAATTCAATTATCTAATGTGCTTTGTTCCCTGGTGTGTGGTGGGATGGGGTTGGGTCCTTTTCTTAGAGATTGTAAGATCAATCTGCTGTTGAGCAAGTAGTATGAATTGATTTACCTTATGTGCTTTATCTGCTTTGCATAAGCTTACAGCCTATCGTATTGTTCAATATTCATCTGTAGGCTATATTCTCTGACGATTCAGATGATGAAGCAGAAACTAGCAATCAGAATGTTGCAGAGGATCCTCAAAAGAAGGTTGAAACTGCTAATACAACTTTAAATCGCTTAATAGCTGGTGACTTCTTAGAATCATTGGGCAAAGAACTAGGTTTGGAGGTTCCTGTCGATATGCCTTTCCCAGAAAACAAAACCAGTAACCCATCAAAAAAGGATGCTGTTCTGGTAGATCTGGGAGCAAAGAGCATTAACCAATCTGGTAATGGTACATCATCCACTTCCCACACTGTTGATGCGGATTTTTTAGATCCAGTTTTGGCAGTAGGAAATAGCAATCAGAACATCTCTCGAGAAGGTAGATCGGGTAGAGAAGGAACGATAGATATCAACTCTCAGAGAAATGGGCGCGGAGGAACTGGAACTGAAAGATACAGGGATGATGTTGAAAAATATAGGTTTGAAAAGGAAACTCAAGCACATGTATATGCAAAAGCTAAAGGAGATCAGCACCACAATAAGAGTAGCGGTTCATCAGAAGATGAAATTGATAGAAAGCGCAGGCGAGCTCACAGAAGCAGCAGTCCAGATGGGATTGCCTCTTCTCATTCTTCCGAAGATTATAAAGACCGTCATCGTTCAAGGTCACGAAAGAAAAAATCATCTCAGGAAAAGAGTAGTAGAAGCCACTCAAAGCACCATAAACATAGGAGAGACTCTCGGAGTCCTAGTAGACATTCTCGTCACGGTGGTTCAGAAAAAGAACGTAGAGAAGCTAAGAGAGAGAAGCGTAGATACAGGGACTGAAAGATTTCTATTATCTGACCAATTGAAATGGAGCTAAGGAATTACTTTAATTCATTGCTGAATGAATATGTACGATATTCCAGATAAATGGTTTATTTCTACTGGATCAGTTCATGTTACTTGGATTGACTGCTTTGTGCCCATTTGAGCGCTATGCAGAGAGCTCGTGCTCTTTGGTCAATCAATGGGTGCCAAGAGACAGGATGCTAAAGATCTCACTAGGAAAATCCTTTGACTTGCAAGAAATGATCTTCATTCGGTTTGTTCCGGCTCATCTCATCTATCGAGCTTTTGATTGTACAGTGTATAATTGTAGGGTTGGTCTGAATATCTGTTTCATGCTTTAAAGACTTATTTAATGGTAAAGCCGACCAGCTATATTTCTTTCTGGGGTCTTGGGAGTTGGTTTGTACATTCTTTGTATGTGATTCCCTTTTTTACTCTATGAGCAAATGGATTTCTCTATCTATTCTGCTTCAATTTTTCGATACCTCTTTTTCCTTTTCATCTTTCTTTTCTTCTTAGGAAGTTGCCCTGAAAATGGCAAATGTAAACCTGGTAAGGACATCACAAACGGTTTTATTCTTGTCGGAAGTTTAGCTTGTTAAGCTGATGGCGCATTACTAGAAAGAGCTGTGCATTCTCCATCCTCTAAAATTAAAAAAACCTCTGATAGAGTAATTGATTCCACATCAAGCTGATCCGTGTTAGAAAGTATATTACCTTACATTGGTGAAATGTTTTTACTTTTTACAAGTTATAATGATCAGTTCGACGAACTGTCGAAATAATTCCTGTTACCTCCAAAACTCCGTTGTATTATTGCTAATAGTCTTTCTAATTTGACAATCTGTCATCATTCTTCTTTTAATATATTCACTTGCCATAAAATAAAACAAAGTCTAAGAATATCCCATTAATCGACTCAAAACAGCCCAAAAATATTCACATTTTAAGATGGTCATCAGAACATTAATACCAAGACAATTATCAGATTTTGTACATTTAGCTGATTGATACAAATACTAAACCATCAAAGCATCGCCATTGTTATGAAATAGGGATGCCAAGAAATTCAGCAGCAGACCTAGCCATAACAGTTGCAAACTCATTAAAACTAATAACACCATCTCCATCAACATCAGCCTCTTTAATCATCTCAGTTAGTTCCCGATACGTCAACGGTTGTCCCATTTTAGCCATTGATCCAGCCAACTCCGCCAACGTAATATAACCATTGCCATCTCGATCAAACGACCGAAAAACTTCCAAAAGCTGTCCCTGATTTTCTAATATTTCTCCATTAATTAAATCTGGCATAATGGCATTGACAAGTTCATCAAATTCCACAGCTCCATTTCCATTAGAATCCATGTTGGCTAAAAGAACATGAATTTGATCCCCAGATGGTTTTATCCCCAACGAACGTAATAGTGCAGCCAGTTCTAAATGTGTGAGACTACCATCATCGTCCATGTCAAATCTTGAAAATATGTCTCTTAATTGATCAAGTTGATCAACTTGAAGAATTGACATAATTTGATTTCCTCCTTTTCCCCCCTCTAATAATAATGGCTTGATCATTTGCATATTTTTTGGTAGTATTATTTAGCTAAACGAGAGTAGAATGAGAAGCTAAAAAAGAGGATACGAAAAAGGAAAAGAGATAAAAATAGGAAGAGAAAATTGGTGGTGATGAGAGGAGATTGTGCAGTGTTAAAGAGAGGTGAGTTCAGTCAAGGCGTAGAGTTGGTCAGTTAGAATTGGAAGGCAATATATGGGTTCCATGTAATGATTATTTTGTATTAAAGAATTGGGCGTCGGTGGATTTAATTTAATTTATTTTTAACCTAAAGTTGGAGGGGTGAAGTTCAATGTATCGTTCAGGAGAACGTTCCTAGTTCAGTCCTTAAAGAAAATAAAAAGTGAAAAAAATTGAAAGAACCGTTCGTATGTCAGTTCTTTGAATTTTCCTAAAGTCAATTGTGTCCATGAGGTGGCCTGTTTCTGCTACTGGACTTAATTTTGTGCTCACCATTTTAGCATGCTACTAAAAGCTGGTTGCAGGTTAGTAATTATTTTTATAAGTTACTAATTGATGCTACTAAGAAAATTTACCAGTAATTATCATGTAATATCTGATAGTGTAAATACCTTATACACTATCAATGAATAGAATTTAAACTCAAACACAAAGTACACCATAACCTTTTTCTAATTTTGAGATCATATATAAACTTTAATACAAATTTACAAGCTTAAAATGTATCTCCTATCTTTCGATTAGAAAAGCTAACACATACCATGACGTAGCGATTGGATATTAAAATTATAACTCGCTTGATGAAATCCTAGATCTAGATTGAGCTGCTGAACTATGGAAATGAAGAAGCAGTTACGCAGATACAGAGGAGAAAGTGATTCTCTTCATTTTCTGTTAAAATTAGTTAATACACTGTACATTGATGTATATATATACTAAGTAAGCTATTAGTTAAGTGTCTACTTAGCTAACTAATGCTTCACTAACTTAATACAGCTGGCATCCAGCTGTACCTTCTAACACCCTACCTAACATTTTAACACCCTTCCTCAAGCTGATGGTTGAAACAGACCCTTCAACCCCAACTTGGATATCAGATAGTCGTGTTGTGCTTTCCCAAGACTCTTAGTAAGCAAATCAGCTTGTTGCTCTTCGGTAGGTACATGATGTGTCTTGATCAACCCTTGTACAATCTTTTCTCTCACAAAGTGACAATCAATGTCAATATGTTTGGTTCGTTCATGGAGAATAGGATTAGCTGTAATCTGAATTGCAGCTTTGCTGTCACAGTGTAGGTCTATAGGCAGAGTAACCTTCACACCAAACTCTGAGAATAATCCTGTAAGCCAAGTCAATTCTACAACAGTCGAAGCCATGCTTCTAAACTCTGCTTCAGCTGAACTTCTAGCAATTGTTTTCTACTTCTTGGACTTCTGAGATATCAATGCATCACCAAACTTGACCACATATCCTGTTACTGATCTTCTTGTTTGTAAGTAACCACCCCAATCTGAGTCACAATAAGCTTCAAGTTTCCCAGATCCTTCTGAGGGCATCAGCAGACCAAGTCCTGGAGCTATCTTGATGTACCTGACAACTCCTAGAGCATCTATATGAGACTGCTTAGGTCTGTGCATAAACTGACTAAGTACCTGAACTACATATGAGATATCAATTCTAGTCATGGTAAGATACATAAGTCTGCCTATCAACCTCTGATAAGGACAAGCATTTTTAAGTTCTTTGTCTTCTGTATCAGCTTCATTAGAGGGGCTTTTGCTCATGAAAATATCAAACTCAACAGAGGTGAGTTTAAAGCTGGTCTCCAGGGGTGTACCAGCAGGTTTGGCACCACCAAGTCCCAGCTCAACAATTAACTCCAATGCATACTTCCTTTGGCTCATTACAACCCCTTGCTTTGACCTGGCAAACTTTATCCCTAGAAAGAACTTAAGTTCACCCAGATCCTTCATCTTAAACTTGAGCTTTAAATCATTTCTAGTTTTTAAAATCAGACTTGGACTGCTTCCTATTACCAGTAGATCATCAACATAGACTAGTACTAGTACCAGTTCTGTCTGCACCCTTTTTGTAAATAATGAATAGTCAAAATGAATTTGAGTGAATCCAAGATGAACTAATGCATCTGTGAGCTTCTTGTTCCACTGTCTAGGGGCATGTTTAAGTCCATACAAAGACTTATGAAGTTTGCAAGCCATATGTTTCCCTCCCTAGCTTGCAAAACCAGGAGGAACTTCCATGTAGACTTCTTCAAGCAAATCTCCATGCAAAAAAGCATTGTGGACATCCATCTGATAGATAAACCACTGCTTGGTAGGAGCAATGGCCATAATAGACCTCACATTGACCATTTTAGCAACTAGAGAAAAGGTTTCAGTGTAATCTAGACCTTCCTGTTGACTGTAACCTTTGGCTACAAGCCGAGCCTTATATCTTTCTACCTCTCCTGAAGAAGTGTACTTAACTTTAAAAATCGATTTGCAGCCAATGGGCATCTTTCCTGGAGGCAAAGCAACTATACTCCAGGTGTTGTTATCCTCCAAAGCTGAAATTTCATCCTTCATTGCAGCAACCCACTTAGGATCTTTGACAGCTTCAGCAAATGTCTTTGGTTCAATAATGGCAGAATAAGCTGCCAAGGCAATGCCAAAGGATGAGGAGACATTATCATAGCTGACACATGTGGAAATAGGATAGCAGCAATGAGCCTTCCCTCTATTGTGAGTGATATAGTCCTTCATCCAAATAGGAGGTCTGCTATCTCTGCCGGATCTTCTGGTAAGAGGAGCCTTAGGAGAAGGCAATGGTGAAGATAAAGGCAAGCTTGGCTCAGTTGGTAGAGACACTGAAATATCATGATCACCAGCAGATAAAGTTTCACCAGTACTTGTTGCAGTTTCACCTGTTGTGGTGTGGAGAGGAAACTCACCACCAAGTGAAGAAGATGAAAGAGTAGAAGGTGTAAAATGAGAAGGATAAAGCTGAGAGCACTGAGAGGATGAATTGTTTTCAGGAGAAGAGAGGAGAACAAAAGTAAGATCCAATATAGGGAATATAGAGGAGGTAGTATGAGCAAACTTGAAAGGAAACACATCTTCCTTGAACACTACATCTCGACTGATAGTGAAGGTCTTGGAGTGAATACCATACATTTTGTAACCCTTTTGTGTCATAGAATAGCCCAGGAAGACAACTGGGACTGCTTTGGGAGCAAATTTACCACACTTCCTTATCTCTATAACATAACCAAGACAGCCAAACACTCTCATTTGTTTTAAGGAAGGAGCATGACCAAGTAAGACTTCAAAAGGAGATTTCCCTTGAATCACAGCTGAGGGAAGTCTATTGATGATATACACATCTGTGGTAATACACTCCCCCCCAAAATCGAAGATGAACAACTGCCTGAAACCTTAGAGACCTGGTAATATCTAAAATATATCTGTGTCTCCTCTCTGCAACTCCATTTTGCTGTGGAGTATATATACAAGAGGTTTGATGAATAATTCCTTTAGATCTTAATAACTCAGCCACTTGAGAGTTAAGAAATTCACTCCCATTATCTGACCTAAAGATCTTCACAGAAGCTGAATACACATTCTGAATCATTAGAAGAAAGGATCTAAGAGCAACAATCACTTCTACTTTAGTAGGCAGCAAGAATATCCAACAGTATCTAGAGTAGTCATCTACAAGAGTAAGAAAATAATTCTTGCCATCATAGGTAGGAACTTTGTATGGTCCCCACACATTACCATGCAATGTATGAAAGTAAACATTAGTGTTAGTAGTGCTCAAAGAAAAAGGAAGCCTGGTTTGTTTACCTAAAGGACATACAGTACAAGCCTCAGTAGTGTTTTTGCATGCACAATTCTGAAATACAGCAATGCTCCTCAAAGTCTTTTCAGGTGTATGCCCTAATCTCTTATGCCACAAGGCTACATCCATTATTATGTGATTTGTGATCATATTTACTATAGGTGGTGGTTTATGAACTACAAATTTAGGAATTGTACTAGGAACTTGAAGTCCAGTTGTATTGACATCTCCATAGTAGAACACATATAACCCATCATCTTCTCTACCAATCCCCTTCACCAGTCCACTGAAGAGTTCCTGAAAAATACAGAAATCAGGGAAGAACATCACTACCCATCTCATCTCCTTAGTTCGCTTTGAGATAGAGAGTAAGTTGTATTTGAAATAAGGTATGTGCAGGACATTACTAATCCTCTGACCCTGAACAATGTAGGAGGATCATATATGGTTGATGTGAGCTATGTTTCCTGTAGGAAGTTAAACTGTACCACCCTTATTATTAGCAATCAACTTAGGATTAATCAACAGATTGAGGCTATGCACCATGTGACTCGAAGCACCTGAGTCTACTATCCACTTAGCCAACATTTCTGAGTTCATTACACAAGATGCCATACCTGCTGATCCTGATGTACTTGTACTGTTGCCTTCACTTCCTTTACCCAGTAGCTGAATTATTTGTTGATACTGCTCCTGAGTGAATTGAGGAATGTTGAGCATCACATTTTGAGTCCCCTGTCCAGTTGTAGTACTATGTTGTACCTGTGAAGAACATGCAAAATTAGCAGCAGTAGCAGTTTGGCTGTTTCATGTATCATTTGATGCTCCTGAACATGATGATGTACTGCATTCCCTGAGCCAAATTGTTTCTTATTCTTGAAGTCATATGGATATCTATTTAGCTTGTAGTAGTTCTCCCTGGTGTATCCCTTAAAATTGCAATAATCACAATATAAAGAGTTCATTTTCTGTCTATAATTACTTCCTCCAGCATAGACCTGTCCACTAGAGTAGTTATTTCCTCCTGTAGAGCCTCCTAAGTTATTATGACCTTCCCCACTGAATAGACATGTGAAATTGTTTGGTATACCTATATTTTTGCTACTGAACAAAGCAATTCCCTCAGTTGCTTCAGCAATTTGAGATGTATAACACATAGATCTTCTGCTCTCTTCAGAAATAATCATGGAATAAGCTCTATTAATAGAAGGTATGTGCAACATGTTCAATATTTGGTTGCTAGACTGTGAATATGACTCATTCAACCCTATCAAAAACTACAATAGCCTTTGATATTGTAAATGCTCAACATACTTCTTTGACTCCTCACAGCCACACCCAGGGCATGGCATAAGAGTATCAAAATCTGCCCAAAGTTCCTTCAACTTAGAAAAATAAGATGACACAGAGGATATTCCTTGAGTCAAAGTGGAAATCTGTTTGTGGAGATACAACACACGAGAGCCATTGACCTTATCAAACCTCTCTATGAGATCCATCCACACTTTGTGAGCACTTGAGGCATACACCATGCCACTTAGCAATTCAGCACTTACTGAATTCATGATCCATGAGAGTACTATGGCATTACATGTTTCCCACAATTCATGAAGAGTTATATCAAACTTCTCCTTAGGATATCTACCATCCACAAACCCTGCCTTACTTTTTCCTAGTAAACTCACACGTATTGTACTACTCCACAGTGTATAATTCTCAGGTCCAATTAATTTGACTGAAATTAGAGAACTACCTGGGGTATCGCATGGTTGAAGGAACAATGGATGATGTTGATCGATTAGGATAGGATATCCTCCGACTGTTGCTGCACTTGTATCAATTTCTTCATTTTCGATCGCCATTGCTGAACAATAATCGAGCTTAGATGAAGAAGAACAGAGGAAATGCAGTCGTTGATTGTCGATTAAGCCCTAGTTTCGAAAATATCAAAAAATTGCTTCAACTTGCTCCAACTCAATTACTGGATGCAGCTAAGACTCTAGGAATTTGATAACGATGCGTGGATCTTCAACGTGTGCTCTGATACCATGATGAAATCCTAGATCTAGATTGAACTGCTGAACTATGGAAATGAAGAAGCAGTTACGCAGATATAGAGGAGAAAGTGATTCTCTTCATTTTCTGTTAAAATTGGCTAATACACTGTACATTGATGTATATATATACTAAGTAAGCTATTAGTTAAGTGTCTACTTAACTAACTAATGCTCCACTAACTTAATACAGCTGGTATCCAGCTGTACCTTCTAACACCCAAACTAACATTTCAACAAAATGATAACACAATGTGAGAGTAGACTTGCCATATTTTTTTAATAAGGTGTCAAAAACATTAAACACACCACTCTTAACCTTAATCTGATTATTAGTTCCAGAATCAAATTCCTCTAAGGCGATCATGTGCCTGCCCCAACAAAGAGCCAAACTGACGATGGTTACTTAATTTGAGAATATGTTTCAGTCATTGGCGAGAAAGTTAGGGCAGAAACTAGGACAACTCTTGCGGTCGATGGAGTAGATGATCCAACAATATTGTATACGGTCAAAACCGGTTAGTCCTTCGTACGAACTGGTCGAAATGGTAATGCATTGGATTGAAGAGCGTCTTCATAATATCAGGTTGAGGTCCGAAGTCAGGTCATCAAGTTTCGAGCCCTAGGGACTGATCAATGTCGAGCTCGATATCATTATCGAGCTCGAACCCTAATCGAACTATGATGCGAAGTGAAGTTATCGAGATTATGAGGCAGAGACCGACCAACACTGTCCCCGAATCAATACAAGGCTCCAAATCAGAATCGAGCTCGAGTCAAGATCGAGAGCTCGCGTCGATATCGAGCTCGAGTCAATATCGAGCTCATAGACAAGAGCCGTTGCAACCGCACTAGAGGAGAGAATCCTCGAAGGAATTATGGAAAAGCTGATTTATCATGGGTCTCCCACTATGTATTTTTAATTATATTTAAAGTAGGATTCCCCACTATAAATGGGATTGTTATTATTTCTGTAAGGGATCAAGTTTGGCATACATTGTAACTGAGATATTATACACTCTCATATTGAAGAGTTATTCTTTTTAGCTTCATAGATTGATTCATCTTGCTTAATCCATAAATCATATTCTTTCCAACTTTGCTTATTTTTCATTCTTTACAATCAACACTCGATATTTCTATTCATTCTTACGATTTGTGTCAAGTTATACCACATACCCTTAGAACTACGTATAAATTTAACTCTATCCGTTTTTTAAATAAATAGTTTGGCGCCCACCGTGGGGCTAAGGATAACAGTGATTATTTGGTACGAATCTGCTAAACACACCCTCTTACACTTGTTGCTGAAAGTGTCTTTGATT